GGAATAGTTGCAGCAGCAGTTGCAGCAGTAGGCAGAGCGATGCGGAGTATATAAAGCAGCGGGTTTAGAGCGGAGTAATTATAATTTGCGGCAGTATTAGAGGCAAGAAAGTTAATAGGTAAAGAAAATAGTAAAGATATTAGAGGGGAGGATTAAGTTCGAGGCATTTTCGGGTTATTTTTAGTATAGGGTGCTATCAACCCATAGGTAAAACATATCGTGGCATATGCCATATTATGATTTAAAACTGAACCGTGCGCTGCAACAATATGATTTAGAAACGAAAATCAAATTATACCGTGGCAAACCCTAACCGAATTTGCTAGTTCCAACGCTGCAGGCAAGTTATCGACTATTGCGCATTAAATGCACTATTCGGATTAACGATGCGACCGTTGGATTATGTTGTCGTCGTCGCGTTGGGGTAGTTAGGGTTGTGATGATATTCGTGGCCGTGCGCAGCGATCGCAGTTAAGGCGCGAACGTAGGAGGGTAGTTAAGTACCTAAAGTTCGTAATAGATGTAGTCGTTGCAAGCTATTTGCAAGCCCTAGGTACCCGGAAATCAGGACCTACTATGCCACCAGTTGCACCCAGGCACGCAAGGTCGTAGATAGATCCCCTAGATATATAGTTAAGTAACAGGTGTAATAATCCAGGTGGCCAAGAGCAGGAGGCGTTAGGAAGGGTCTAAGTAGCGGTGAGAGTAGTTAAAAGCACGTCCGGCCGCTATTAACACGGCGATTAACACGTTTATTAATTATCTATTATCTAATATTCCATCATCCTATTATTATATTAAACCGTGAATCCGTTACAGCAATTATTATAGCAATTGTATTGAACGCTATGGAATAATTCACCCGAATTTTCGAGCATATCCCGCAGTACTGTATTGTAGTTTGCCGAGTTTATAGCCACAGTATTACTAAAACGCAGTTACAAATGCATTTAACTAAGCACCACCAGGAATTAATATCAGCAACACGAAAATCTATACAAGAGGCCGTAGCAGACATGGAAGATTGGGCCCAGAACGACAGGCAGGTTGTTTTCCTAGCACCCACCGCTAAACCCGTGCCGCATTTACCTATTTAGTATAACGGATTAAAATGTTTAGGAACCTATGAAAACGACCAGCCGTGTAGAGCTATAGTGCGCAGTTTGCAGAATATACAGACCTATTATAAGAAGGAGCATAGGTAGGAGAATCCGCGAAAGCGAGGACATTATTACTAAAGGCAGCAGAGCATTATGCAGCGGGCGAAGATGTGGGAAGTTAGCGTGCATTGCCAGAAATTCAGCAGCAAGGCGTTATTAGCCCGATTGTTCCAGGTAAACGCGCATAACCCAGCCGCCGAGAGAGAAGAATAGAAGGATCCTATCTAGGAGGCATTAGAGGCCGCATTTACACAGGCAATAATTAATATTAAGAAAGCCGACAAGGAAGCGAGCAGTTAAATCCAGGCCGACGATAACCGATTTAAGGTTAATATATAGTTAAACCGCGCCGGATAGGCAAAGTATTTAAAGAGATTAGATAGCGAGTGGTTGGAGTTGTTAATGCGCAAGCCCGAGAAGAGAGAGGGAGCGTTGGCCAATTTGTGTTTTGCAGTTAAGATAGTAATTTGGAAGGCGCAGCAAGCATCTAAAGCCAGCGTGGTTGGATTAGCAGCCATAAATTATATTAATCGACGTGAAACTGGCAATAAAACAAACGAGAAGCCGTTTAGCGCATGCTAGACGGGCAAGACAATAGTTAAATACAGCGCGTGTTAGTTGGCTATTGTCCGTTATATTTGGAGAACCCGCAGAATAGAGCCGATTTGCAGTAAGGAGATAGAAAAGTTGGAGAGCGAGGGCGATATCTAGAACCAGAGGCCAGTATTTAGGTTAATAGGTAAACAGGGGTTAGCATTAGTAAAGATCGAGATAATAGTAGGGCAGGATAAAAAGGAGGATAGCAATAATAGTAACATTAGCGACAACAGCAGTGATAGCAACAACAGTTATATAATTAACGAGGAGGAGTAAGAGAGGTTAGAGGAGGCCGTTTTAGTATTTATGTTAGCGTTGTTGGACCACCCGTTTACGGACAACAAGTACACCAGCGCATTAATTAGCGGCATGGCCGTTTTAGGCATTAGCCAGCAATGCGGTTGGGAAAGCGTGTTAATATACACGCCTAAGATTGCAGCTATTATTAATATATCCCGTATATTGGTTTTATATCAGGCTATAAAGATGCGTAAAGAGCGCGCGGCGGATATATAATAGAAGGAGCATTTCAGCCAGAAAAACGCCGAGGAAATGGCGCCGGCGCATTTTGAATTTATGTAAGAGATGGCAGACCGGTTTATAACGTTGGTTTAATATAGCGGAATACCGCACCCTATAGATTAGTTGCAGCGGTTAAAGGCGTATAGGATGAAGATCCGGTACACTACTAATGCCGAGGGCGTAATTAAGTGGATGGACAATATGTTGTTATATAGTAATATTTAATTTAGTATGCCCTAGTTGCGTTTAATAGTCCACAGGTTAGTAGAAACAGCCCGGGTCGAGTTGCACCGGGATTTATTATTGTTGGAAGAGGTTGATTAAGTTGTGCGGGGGCCGTTAAGTGGACAGGAAGCTGTTGCATTGCTAGCTATTAATTGGGCGCATTTAGTAGATAACCTAGCCGAGCAATAGTCGGGATAAAGTTTTATCGAGGACCCGCGAAATTAAGAGTTGGGATTTAGGGGCGTGCATGGAAAAAGGTGGTTAAGTAATCGGGTTAGCCAGGAGCAGAAGATTAGGGAGAGGTTTATTAATATTAGAGCCAGCGACCCAGTAGCCGCTATAGCAGCAAAAGGCAAGCAAGGGTTAGCATAGAAGGGGAAGGAGATTAAGAAGTATACACGAGCGATGCGAGTATTCCGGCAGCATTTGGCAGCATTGGTGCATATAACGGGTGGGTTGCCAGCGCGTGGAATAGAGTTAATAACGGTGCAGCATTAAAACAGCCCGAATAGCGATAGTAGAGGGATTTTTATTAAGGACGGGTTAGTGGTATATATAACGGTATACTATAAAGGCATAGGAGTTAGTGGAAAGGCTAAGGTTATCCACCGATATTTGCCACGCGCGGTGGGCGAATTGGTGGTGTATTATTTATGGTTAGTGTTGCTATTTTGGCAGAGGTTAGAGAGTGCATAGGGCGGTTAACCAGCAGAGATTAGTCCATTTATATAGGAGCCCGAGCCCGAAAAGGGTTGGATAATACTATAGAGGAAGCGGAGGCGGGTTTAAATTAATAATGCAGCAAGCGCAGAAGATAAAGAGGATGAAGAAGAGGAGGATAAAGAGAAGGATAAAGAGTAAGGAGAAGAAGAATGCAAAGCAATAGAAGAAACCGAAAATATCGCCGAGGATAAAGGGGGAAAGAATACAGTTCTATTACCTGAGAAATGGAATTCCAACCGTTTAAAAATGGCATTATAAGGAGCGTTATTGCAATAGATAGGGGTTAAGTTGAATATTATGGCATGGAGACACGGCACCAAGGCTATATACTGTTGATATATTAATTCTAAGGCGGTTGTAAAGGCGGTAGTGCAGGGCGATAAGGATAATTTGGATAACAAAGACAAAGTATTTAACATCTAGACCGGCTATAGATCCAGGATTAGAGGGGGAATATACGGTTGGTTGATTACAGAGTCGATATTTAGCACTAAGGCAAGGAGGGCACAGTTGCGGAGGGTTAGTATAGAGTAGCATCGGTTTTTGCAGTTCCTGTGCGCGATGCAGACTAAGCCGAAGAAAGGAACCCGCGCGGCAGCCGACAGAAAGGAGGCTATTAAGGAGGAATATTAACGGTGGAAGATAATAAGATTGGTGGATATAGAGCAGCAGTTGAAAGCATTAGTAGGTAAAAAGGCCGAATTTCGGGGCGTGCAGAGACCAGCATTAAAGGCTATTATATACTATAAGAGCCCGGTAGTTGCTATTATAGGCACAGGTAGAGGCAAGAGCATGTTGTTTATATTGCCAGCATTGTGTTCAACAGGCGTAATAGTAGTAGTTATGCTATTAGTGTCGTTGCGGAAGGATATAAAAAGCCGTTGCAATAAAGCCGGCATCGGTTGCGTTGAATAGAATAGTTAAAGTCCGCAAGAATGGGCGCAGGTCGTGTTGGTCACGCCGGAGTCGGCGGTTGGGGAGGCATTTAGCAATTTTATTAACCAACAGCGGTCGATGGGACGGTTAGACCGGATTGTGATTGACAAATACCACGTAATTTTGGATTTAGTAGGCGGGTGGAGGAGCAGGATGTTGGCGTTAAGGAATTTAGTTATAATAGAAACGCAGTTGGTGTATTTAATGGCAACAATTTAGCCCCGAGAAGAGGAGGAATTTATTTGATTAATAGGGTTGCCAGCCAGGGAAAAATACCAGTGGTTTCAGGGGCTAATAACGCGGAAAAACATTATATACCGCATTTAACAATACAATATGCAATAGGAAGAGGACGCAGTTGTTAAGTTAGTAGAGAGTTTAAAGCAGAAGCACGCGAGGGGGCAGGTAATTGTGTATTGCGACACGGTAAAGAAGACAATTCGATTGGCAGAAGTTTTAGAGTGCGTTTGTTTCCACCGAAATGTAGGAAGCAGCAAGGAGAAGAGCGAGTTAGTAAAGCAGTTAACTAAAGGGCGACAGCAGGTGTTCACGGCCACGAACGCATTAGGGTTGGGCATTAATGCGCCAACAATTCGAGCGGTAGTGCACGTTGGAACAATTCGAAAAATGCGGCATTACGCGCAGGAGAGCGGAAGGGCAGGGCGTGATGGGCGGAAGAGTGAAGCAATAATTATGCACGGATTCCGAACAGATAAAAGGGGCGTTGTTTATAAGCAGGATTTTAGGGAGGACGTTAAGGAGGAAATACAGGGATTTATTGTGGGTAGGGGTTGCATAAAAAAGATAATTAACGGTGCAATAGATGGGAACTAAGAGCGAGTAGAATGCAAAGAGGGGGAACAGAGATATTAGCAATATCGAGCGCGTTTAGGGGTAGCAGTTAATAAAAAGAAGGCAGTTATAGAAGCCGAAGCAACAACTAATACAGTAGTCGCCAACAGGGATATAGATAAGATTGTTTTAATTAATTGGAATATACGCGCCAGCATAACAGTTGTAATTAAGGACGCCGATAAGCCCGATAATAATATATAGGGCGTTACCACAGCAGACAGCATGTTAGGGGTACTACCAGCAACGCCCTGGATGGAAAAGGAGGCGGTTGCAGAGAGAGTGGAATTTGAGCAGCAGTTGTCGGTTTAAAAGGCACAAGCAATTGGAGAGGCAAGTTTACAGTTAATAGAAGCGTTAGAGGTAGACAGATTAGTTGAATTAATAGAGCAGTAGAAGGTGGGTTGCCAGCAATATTAGGTATAGGAGGAAAGGAGTAAGGGGCACGATATTTGGCATTGCAATAAGCCGGAAGCGGAGAATATTTGGGTAGTAATTAAGATGTTTTAAGAAAAGATAAACCCGATAAAGGAGGCGCAAGGGAAGGGGGCGAAAATATTATGGGCACCGTTTTTAGGGTGTTGGGAGTGCGGATTGCCATAGGGGGTTTGCGCAAGTTACAAAGAGGATATAACGCGGGGAGGGTGGCAGAAGTAAAGGGGAAAGAAGTGTTAGTATAAGGGAGTATTAGCAGCAGCAGTGTACGCAGTGTAGGTGCGGTATTCTAAGGAGTTTGGAGATTTTGTTAAGAAGGAGATATAAAAGGGGGGGTGGAAAGAAGGCAGCAACGGGGATTAGGGGAGCATATTACAATAGTTTGGCGGGAAGGTTTAATAGGGTGGATTAGAGTCGAATTAAATATGTTGGGGATTTGTTAGATTTATAGAGCAGGTTAGGAGATAGGAAGTTTAGGGTTATTAGAGTTTTAAAGGGGGGGTAGGTGGGTGCCTGTATAGGGTTAAGGGAAGGCGGCGGCAGCAAATATTTAAAATAGGATAAGAAAGCAAGTGTTAAGTATAGAGTAAGAGTTTAAAAGAGTTTGTTTTTAAAAAGGGGGGGTAGGTGGGTGCCCGTGTAGGATTAGGGAAAGGCGGCGGCAGTGGATGTTTAGAGTAGAGTATAGAAGTAAGAAGGAAACGTAGGGTTAGGGTTAGGGTTAGGGTTAGGGTTAGGGTTAGGGTTAGGGTTAGGGTTAGGGGTAGGGTTAGGGTTAGGGTTAGGGTTAGGGTTAGGGTTAGGGTTAGGGTTAGGGTTAGGGTTAGGGTTAGGGTTAGGGTTAGGGTTAGGGTTAGGG